GGGAAAAAAACACAACACATAAAGAATGTCCTACCTTAAAGTATGCTAATCACCATAAGGTGACATCACACATGTAGGTGATTGGCAATTATCAGAAAGAGGTATGATTGCCTGCTTTCTGCAATTTTCTGTAATTGACATGAACATTTGGTCTGATGAGTCATCTCCCCATTCACCCTTTTCCCTTCACTTAGGCTGCTTTATGATTGGAAAAATCCAAAGGATGGCTTCAGACAGTGCTGCTGCCAACAGTTTATTACTGTGGCTCTGTAATTGTGTGAGCAGCCATCTCATGTCATTAGATTTGATTATTTCTCTGCATGGTCATATAACAGCAAATAAAGAGAGAGGCTACTTAATTGATTTAGGTGGTGCAAACACTGTCCCTTAACCGCAATCCTATTTTTCCAAGATCCTGATGCGCCCATAAACACTGCTAAACAAATCAAAGAGTGGTCTCATGAAGACTTTCAAGAACAAGATCCTTCCATGGCCTCCCCTGTAACCAGATGTAAACATAATTTAACTTGTATGAGATCAGAGTAAGTGTGCCTCCGTCCCTTTCCTCACAGCACTTGAGGATTTTCTTCTTGACAAATAATCCGACCACACTCATTTCAGGATTTGTGTGGCTTCGCTCAAAAGAGATGTCAGGCTGTTTTCTGATTATATGATGTTTTTCTTATAATGTCCTTCCCCTAGATGTGAGTACTGAACAGTGGTTGACCCTATTCAGGGTTTTCTTATCTGGAATGATTGAGTCTGCAGCATAAGAGGCCCAACCGTTACATCTACTTATGCACTAAGCACTGAGGGTTGAATTCTCAAAAGATTGCACAGTTTCTGTGTTCGCTTAACCTTTTTGATAGCTACTGTATCACAACCTTAAATAAAAAAATATTGTGTTGCCTAGTCAGTGTGTTTACATTGTTGAGCCTTGTACTTTGCAGAGGATTACAATCAAATGCAAAAAAAGGGCAAACTGCTCAAAAACGTGAAAGGCCTTTTCAAGCTGAACTATCATTAGCGCCATGTCTTTTGTGAAACGCACCATGAGACCGGGAAGATGGTGGTTTTAAGTATTTTGATATCTGTGGCTGCTTTCTTCCTTGAGATATACATTTCAAAGGCTTTCTTGACGATTTTCCACATCTATAATCCCTACTACCAGTATGGTTAATGTGAATCAGAAACGGGTTTATTGCCAGGTAGGTTCACACCTACGAGGAATTTGACTTGATGTCATGGTGCATACATAAAATATAAAACGCAGTTTCCACAAGCAGCAGTTAGCTTAGCAAGAAAAAGCTTGTCTGATTCTGTTTGTATGTAACAAAGCCTGACTACCAGCACATCCAAAGCTCTCTTATAAACAATTTACAGCGTATCCCGTTTGTTCAAACAAAATGTTAGCACAAAAAACTGTAAAAATGAAATGATGCAGTGTTAGTTGGATTATGTGCCAGACTATTTATTGGCCGGGCGCAATGACTTCCTGTAGCCTGGTTGTTACCCTGATGTTGCCCGGCAACCACCAGCTAAAGAAAAGATCCAGCAGAATTACCTGAAACCAGAGCCAGGCTGCTCCAGTCAATGTTACTCCGCTGGTTCTAGCTTCATTTTCACATTACGTTTGTAACGTATAGAAAGTATTTGTACTCTTTGAGACCATTTTTATCCTCCGTGGGGAAATTCAACCTCTCTCTTGATTTGCCATCAACTGTGTTGATCAATCAAACAAAACTAACATCATATAGACCAGGGGTGTCAAACTCAATTTCATCGCGGGCCACATTCGCATAAAGGTTGCACTCAAAGGGCCGGTTGTAACTATATAAATATATAATATATATATAAAATAATGTATTATATTACATTATTGCCTCTGAATTGGATTATTATCGGATAGGATAATAACTTAGTAAATAACTACGTCTGAAGCAGAAGTCCAGGGCAAATAATTGCAAGTCTCCTCAGTGCGCATGTCACAAAACGAGATGCATTGTGGGACATGTAGTTTATGGGCAACCTGCTTCTGTAAAGTGGCATGTAACCGTATAATAAACTTATTATATTCTTTGCAAGCTCTTGCAGGGCCACATAAAATGAAGTCGCGGGCCGGATTTGGCCCCCGGGCCTTGAGTTTGAGACCCCTGATATAGACTATGATTGGATGTAGAAAGTAATCAGCATATACTTTGAGCCACAGTAGAAACAACTAACAGGGCATTGCTATATGTTGGTGATTCTAGACATCCTGATGTTCCTATTTTTAACACTAAAATGCTATATATTTAGGGGTAGTCCTTTTAGGCAAAGTCTGCAGGCTATAAGGTTTGCATAAGGAGATTAAACATTTATTAAAGGGCCTTCAACCATTCATCGTATTCACAGTGGGACTGTGCAGAACCCTGGGGCTTATTGGCAATGCAGGTCTGTGAGGGCAGACATTGGGACTGGCCCAGCAGTCAGATGTGGATTCAGTTTCCTGTCCATTAAACATCAAAGTCGAGTCTGGGTTTGCATTTGAAGGGACATAACGATATTATGTATTTTAACGTTCCACAGAAGACGTCAAGCACCAAGCAAACAATTGTTATCCTAATATGAGCTCCTTGTGGGAGCTTTGAAACATGACAGTCCTCATATTGGTTTATGAAATGAGAAGCATTTGAATGACAAGATGTTTTAGAACAAAGAAGCAAAGCAAGCAGGTAGTGGTGTTTGGAGCTTGGCTCAAGCTCTTTCTTAGCTAATAAAAAACATTTTGGCTGGAGACTTTGTCTTCCATCCATCCTTGGCGGATGATTTAAGAGACATTTGAGGATGATTGCTGGGTTGTTGACAAGATGAAGCTAATGATGGATGACTTTGGACTCAACTCAAAGTCTAATACGTCATCTGAGCCAGACTTTTCTACACCAAATTTTGCCTCATACAAATAGTTACACTGTCCAGTGGTTGGAGTATTGAAACGAGAAGTCAAAGAAATTTATGGACAGAGCAGTCTGGCCCACTTCTTGCTGTTGGCACCTTTGTTTACTTCTCCCATCCAGCCTACTGATTCAGTTTTTCCACAATACATCATGGTGATGTCTGTAATCACTGTTTTTTTCTGTTTAAAAATTAAAATAATTGGAGCTCAGTTAATTTGATTCACAACTTTTGCCTTGCAGGTTTTCACACCTTTCACAGGCCAAAGCAGAGCCGTTGGTGATGTCTGTCAGTGTGTCAGTGCCACCTCCAAACTGCAGGCTGTCCACTGTACAGATTGTTGGCTGAAATACTAAAGGGACAATTTTATTAGCTCACGACCCAACCTTCTGATTAATAGTACTTGGCTGCGTTATTGAAAATAATCCCTGTTGTTGATTATCCAATCAAACCCTTCTGAGTTCAGACTGCATGATTCAAGACTACCTGCTGATCAGCACGACAACATATTCCCAGCTGTGTTTTAATGCTGCTTAGGGTTTTATTCTAGGTATTTCCACATAGTGTTAAACCCATGCTGAAGTTAACTGACAATAAAGCTACTCTAACAAAAATAACACAAATATGACTTTAATACTATGACATGCTAGTACATAAAGATAGATTACAATCCAATTTAAAATATATTATGATATGTATTAAGTTTTAAAATCTCACAGGTGGAGTTGTATGTAGAGTGAGTTATGATGATGAGGTAATGTTTCTGTATAGGGCTTTTAGCCTTGAACAGTACATATTTAAGAATTTGGTAACTTAGCTCAGGTTTCTTTACACTGGCTCTCTTTTTTCTTCAGTGATTTCACATTTACTCTTGATGAGATCCAACTTCTGACAAGACGCAGTACACATTCTTGATACCTGCCCATGACACGTTTTCATGGCTTTCCTCTGCGTTTACCCTGCAGACTTACATGATTCTCAAAGTCAGGAATCGGAACAAGTGGCCTCTGTTAAGCGTCAATCCAGTCCAGACAGTAATTCACATTACCTCCAGGCTAAACTGCCAGCAGAATTATAACTGGTGCAATAAAGCGTTGGAGACAAAGTGAATAAAAGTTTAAGAAATACAGATCGTCATTTATGTATTCTTTTTTTTTTTGCCGCTTGCCAATTGGACAAACTTGTAGGTGTTCAAAATCTCAATTTCAATTCCAATGGAAAGGTCAGTTGTATACACTGGTGATAATTACGAGACCTTTAGCTTCTATGATCATGGACAGATGGTCGACTCACAAATGCAAAAGTTCTTACTAAGGTTAAACTGACTGACAGAAGTTGTACTGTTTTAAGATATCTTTCTGAGGTTCTGTTTTATCCGTTCGATCAACTCTATTTCTGATAAAGTAGTGCTGCCTCAGGAACTAAAACACTGGCAGGGACACTGAGCTAACAAACAATTTGTAATAATGTTAAGAAACTACATTTAGGAAAAGTAAACCTGAAGGAATCAGCCAAATACCTGTCTGAAGCATCATGGTCTGCCATGAACGAACAATAACAGTCTTTGTAACTGACAATTAAGGAATAGTGTTGTACTATTTGCACAGTACATGAAAAGTGATTTTCCACATTTACCACACAGTTTGGAAACAAGTCCAATAGTGTATATTAAAGTGTTCTCAATAAACCCAACAGGGCCACCAGGAAAGCCCAGAAAATTGGCATATCTGCAGAGTTGAATTGTTCGAACATAAAACAGTGTGACCCAAATGAAAGAACAGGAGAGGTTTGTCTGAAGTCGATGAATGAAACTATTTATTATGGAGAGCATTCCCCACATTAAGGCTTTAGCTAAGGTTCAACCATAGGGTTCAACATAAAAGGCCCATTTTTGCACGCTTTTTCGACTTGTGATTTATATTATTCTTAGACCAAGATAGGCTTATATGAAACTGATAAACCAAAAAAATGTAAATGTGTGGGGATTAAATGTGCTGCTTGTTAATCATCACTTTCATGTCGCTGAAATGTGGAGCAGCCATGCTCCAGCGCACAGCGTGCCTCGGTGTGACGGTGAGACGGCTCTCTGCAGCCCGGATGGAGGAAGCTCAGTCCGCATAGCTGACGGTCACACCGCTCGGCCTGGAGGTTAATATGACATTTTTTCACCCAGCGAACTGCCAGATGCATTTCAACCGGCGTAAAAAAGCAGCTATTTAGTAGCGCAATTTAGAAACAACCGTTCATTTCGCCGTGCTTTCATGGCGTCTGGCTCCGGAGATGAAGAGGGGAACACGGAAGGCGGTTCATGGAGACTCATAGGCCCGGTCGAAGGGCTCTCCAAGAAGCGCTGCCGCCTGATGTACTGCTCCCTTGGCTTCAACTCTGATGTCTGCCTCTTCTACGTGAAGGGGGAGTTTTTCGCCATGGATGCTCGCTGTGCACATTCCGGTAAAACATCAACCTATCAGTCGCTTATGTTAACCCTTTAGCTATCTAGGCAAAATAATGCACAATATAACGTTTTTATTATTGTAGCATATGATAAGGGTATTCAGCGTATTGTAAAGAATGTAACATCTGTGGGTCAGACTAAAACTGTACACAAAATGAGTATCTGGTTTATTTCTCCCACAGCTGATAGCCTACGGAAATATCACCCGTGACAGCCCCCTGCTGTCACATAGCTTTATCAGTTTCACACCATGTTATTCAAGCCTCACCATCACATTTTCCCAGAAGGTACACATCAAAAGCTATTTGTTTTGTTTTTTTAAAGCGAGAAAATGTGAGTAACAATTTCCTGTTTCTCCCAGGCGGTCCTCTGTGTGAGGGGGACATCGAGGAGGCTGACGGAGTCCTGCAGGTCTTCTGTCCCTGGCACGACTATGACTTCAACCTCAGGACTGGGAAGTCTGGGACCTCTTTACAGGTCAGAGATGAAATATGTCCTTGCTGTATTACTTCTTCACAAAAACAGCTACATTTCATTGCTCAGAATAGAACCATATAATTCTAATGTGAGTTAGAGTAGAAAAAACATTAATTAGATCCCAAATGATTCCCAAAATATCATCACGATTCAAATATGCATCAAACTTCCAAAAACATGCCCAGTAGGCAAAGGCTTCGCTCGCTGACTGCACCTGGAAGTTAATGTGAACATTTGCAGTGACATGTAGGCAGATCATCCTATTTTATTAGATGTAGAAAGTTCCACTGATTGACACAGCATGAGGAATCAAAGTCTATTCAGAGTTAACGTGTTGTTCCCCTTTTATTCCCCTTTTCTATTGTTTGCTTGCAATGAACAATCCAAACAAGAGCTTTACTTTCCATAAACATCTTGTTCAATTTTATAAACCATTGTTTCTCCTGTACAGTGCATTACTGTGATGTCACCAGTCAAACAATAGAAGACATATAAAAACAATTATTCTGGGAGGGTTTGCTCCATTTTAACTTATCAGAAGTGACATTACATACACTGTAAGCTTACTTGGTTTTTTAGCAGCTGTATGAGTACCGCAGTAAATTACAATTTGTTTATTCCCTCATGTGCCTTTGTGTTCTCTATTTTGATTGTTACAGCAACAAGTGTATGAAGTCAAGCTGGAGGATGGCAACGTGTACGTGAAACACGCCAATCGTCTCTCCTTAGAGCCTTTTCCTGCGGATCAGAAGAGTTGAAAAACCTCAGCCCTTTGTGAGGCCCGTCTATTTGTAATACTTGTTCCACAAACCCAAGCCATCTGAAACATTCCTGAGCCTTATCTATCATGTTCACAGACGGTTTCTGCTTTGATTGCTGTGAACTCAGGACAATATCAAGAGGATTGTCTGAAGAGGACATGACATCATGAAACTGAGATATACTTTCTGCTGTTCCAGGTAGAGATTCATCACAGATACTGAGCATGGAGCGCTCTAAGGTCACTGCAGACTTTTATAATACACCAGACCGTAGCAGATATAACTTCAAAACAGAAAGTTTACTTTTCATATGTAATATTACATTTTTACTGCATAACAACTATTTTGCCTATTGACCAGATTTTGTAGGATTCTTTAAGATAATCATCTTATTATTTCTGATTTAAATGATATAGAGTAATATAGTTTTAAAGCCTATGTCTTTGCATTTGAGCTAAAACATAAAACATTTTTTAGCAAGCAATTACTGCCCTGTTTTGCTCCCAAATGTCCTTTCTTATTTAAATACAAAAGGACAATTGACAACTAACTATAATTGCAATGAGGGGATGAATTCGCATGCATCCAGAAATAATGAGTCTTGCTTTACAGTCATGTTAGAGGTAATATGATTTATACAAAATATGCAAAATGCAATGATAATCTAGTGATTTTTAAATGCAGTTCAAGTGGACAAAATGAATAGTACAGATGAGTATGAAATTAACATCAATGTCTTGGTTTATATGAGAAAAACACACGTAGATTGTAATTGTTAGTTGTAGTATGTAATTTTGAAGTCCTAAGTGACTGCCAGTCTATTTCAAAAAGTAATACAAGAGTTTCCACTAATTACAGTGGAGTAATTTGTAGAACCATGTCATGGTGGTAGTGTAATGACGTTAATATCCAACTAAAAGATCTTATTGTTATTACTACCATTAATTATCTTCAATGTCTTCAACAAGCATTACCAGAGGCTTCAAACTCTTTAACTTGCAAGCGATCAGTCACACTTGTTGAGATGTGGCCTTTGCATACATTTAGACATTTATTCCATTGATGTCACCAAACAGAAAACTCCCTTTTAATGATTTGATTTTGGACCGTTTTTTTAACCCGAATAGAGTTCCAGCAAGTAAAACACACATGAAGGGCACTGCAATTACGTTTGATGGCAGTCCCGGAGTTAAGACTTCTCACACAGCAATTCTCTCCACTCCTGGCCTGTGCACAGACAGGTTCGTCTTGTTATTGACGCAATTGGACTCAAAAGAAACAGTTAAGGCGCCGCAGGAAGGTTCATGACCTTAAATGCACCATTGACTCAAAAATAAATGTTTTTTCTAGCTTAATGTGCGTGTGCACTGATGCATTTCTTACCCAGCGGTGAGGGCAGTCACTCACTGTGTTTTATGTCAGCTCCATTTTCTGGCAGAGGCACAGGGCCCATCCTGAAGGTGTCAGAGGCAACACACACTTTCCCCCCTGCTGTGATCCTTGCTGTGCAACTTTATTACAGTAATAATTCCACTGGCTAAAAATGTCTGTAGTGTGCAGGAGTGTTTTTTCTGTGTGCATTATAACTCATCACCTGAAGGGTAATAGACACACACAATGGACATGCAGCTATTTTGAGTCAGTAGAAAAGTCGAAGTAAACATTGTCAAGATTCTGCACAGTACTTATATTCTGTGAGTACTACTAAGAAAACCAGCATTACCATATGTTTCCTTAAAGTTATTATATATGCTGAGCTAATTTGAATGCATTTAGTTTCTTATGAGAATTATGTATCTGGTTTATATGTAAAAAATGTCTGCAGACTGCATTGTTACTTTAGCCGCATTTTATTTCAACTACCTATCACATGCACTGTACTGTAAGCTTCTGTTGTTTCGTATGTTTCAAACTATATTTATTGTTGTGACTTTTGCAGAGCTCAGCATTTCATATGTATTGTTTAGATCACAAATTAAATTATTGTTTGTTTGCATCACTGAAAACAATTTGTTTTCTTACATTCAGAAATGTGAAATTGTTAAACCGTTTAAATTGTGTTCATATACTTTAAAAATTACACAGAAAATAGTTCAAAATGTTTACACAAAATTATTTATTTACAGTCTTGTTCGTACAATAATAGTAGATTTCATACAATACACAATTTACAAATAAAAACTTAATTCAGAGAGAAACAAGATGCATCGACATGCAATATTTAAGCGTTTACAGAGTATTATCACAAGTTATTTATGTAATTCTTCTACTCCCTAGAGCACAGTGGCAAATATACAACTCTTCACAAACTCCAGACAGCGGTGGAACGGTTTAAGAAAGACCCCCTGAATAAATTATGGTCTGGTTGAGACCAGCTGGACTGTTCAGAATAGAAAATGGATAAATCGGTTCATGCTTCATTTACGGAGAAAATCTTTGTGGTCTCTGGTGGAGGGAGAGTATTTTTTTGCCCTAAGGTTAAATTGTGCTGCCTAGCTTTACATGCAACCCCATTCTGTGACAAGGAGGCAAACTCTGGTTTAAAAAAAGCAATCCACTTTGTGTTGTTGTTGCAAAAACAACCCAAGTTTAGCCAGTAGGTCTGAGGGGATAAATAGACTTGATTGTCGGCTACATCTGTAACAATAGTATACTGCCAATTTGATGAGATACACATTTTTATTTCCATGCAGTGGGGTTTTATCTGTTGGAACCAGGCTTCAATTCTCTTTACTTGATTCTAAAGACTTTGGAAACTTTTTTCTTTAGTCATTAAACCAAACATTGCAGAGGTCCTTTAATCTCCTTTGAAGTTCCCCAGAAGACAAAGTAACTGTTTGGAGAGCTCAGCTAACTTTCCCATGCAAAGCCTTACATAATAGCTTACTCAGCCTATTATTGCTACCTTGTCCTCCAAATTCCCCTGATAGCTTCTCCTCATGAATAAGACAATTCTCCTGTCAAAGTTTTGTTCGCCTCTTTTCCATGTGCAACCTATTTTGAAGCCTGAGATTCTGTAAGTGATGGTCTGGGAGGCCAAAGACCACTAATATTTTCCTTTCTTTTTTTCCCTTTACCAAACAGTTTCCTAAAAATGATTAAATCCATCACTAGATAAACTTGCTGTTATTTTTTCTCTTGATGTCTTTGGTCTAACATTTCCTCCAGTTGCTCTACAGCTGTTGGGCCTCCTCAGCTGACCTCACACAACCATTCCTTTTTTTATAGGACTTATCTTCCCACACCTGGATTCAATCATCATCTTTTCTGTACGCTGTCGATGCTATGCCTGCTTCGGGAAAATGTTTGTTTTCATCTAGAGATCTGAGTCGTGGACGGCCCACAGTCCTGTGATTACAGAGGTCAGCGATAATGGCAAGGTACCATGTGTTTTCACCCTTTAAAGCTGTTTTTGAGTGTTTTTCTGGAGTGTGCTGCTCTTAGTTCATAATGGAAAAATGTAGTTTTTTTCGACATGGGGCCAAGTTTAAGTGTAGGGTTACAATATAGTGTATGGCTTCAATTTCTTGCATGTAACTTCACAATGGCACCACACAAACAATAGGTATGTTGCATATAAGGAATGATAAGGTAATCAGCTTAAATGGAGTTACCTGTACAGTTAATGGTTTGACCATACTCCTCTTGGGCTCAGTATATTGTTGATGACTTAACTCTATCCTTTGTACATTGGAAATTAACTTGTTTTTCTCTCTCCGGTTCAAACTGTTTTAATAGTTCTCAAGAGGATTTGTAATTTACTTTGTAATTAACAGCAGGCTTATGTTTACTATTCAGCCTCTCCTGGTTTCTCCATGGACCATTCCCCCCCTCATATGGTCTTCAATTAGTTCAGCTTGAAGAGTTTTTTCCCATGGGTCTGCAGTTGCAATTTTGCGCATAAACAAGTTTTGCACTTTTATGACAAAGAGACATTTCTTCCTATCACCAACCTCAATGTAAATAGCTTTATTTGTGTTATTTAAATCTAATATTCTGTCTCAATATATCTCATTAACAGGATTTATGAAAACATGGCCTTTAAGTCCACAAGTGTGTTCACTCTTTAATTGTCAGAATCATACAATAGGTATTGTAAAGGAAAATAAGTCTTCGCCGAGTTTAACCACCAGAAAGATTGCTCTCTGTGAAAAGATCACTGTAGTGTACGAATTGTAAAATCTTCTGAGCCATGCAGCAAAGTATAAAAAAGGTTAATAGGTCCTGCGCAGTTCAGAGCGTTGAAGACTGATTACATGAGAGTTAAGTTATTTTGTGTCAGAAGAATCCTGTACAAGATCTCCTACACACACCTTTACCACATTATCTGCCTCACGTACTAAATAAGTTCTTGCTTCATTTAGCAGCAGCACTCTTTATGTACTATACTCGTTTGTTACATGCTAATTTTGAGAGCTCAAGTTAAATTATATAGTTATTGCACTTGCACACAGATGCAAAGGCAGCTCACAAGCGCATTACCCGACAACAAAATTCCCTTTAGACACTGAATAAGTCTCTCGAATGGTTTCTGAAAACTGGTATATTTGGAAATATGTATTTAGGTAACATTTTCTTTGGTTTTACTTTGTAATGTGCAAAGGACAAAAAGACATTATGTCATACCTCTAAATCAACTATGCTCTTTTTAGACTGCCTGCTGCTAGTAAGATCCATGCTTGTTTTGGCCATGGTCTTGTTCTTGCACATTTTAAGTAGGTGTGAATGGACGTTTGGCTGAATCACAGTTGGCAATGTAGCATGCTAGTGAAAAACATTAAGAAGCATGACTGAAAACATCCTCTGTTCCCTGGGTGGCATGTGTGTGTCTCTTAGGTGGAGAGATTTTTTCTGGTTTGTAGAAAAAGGAATCAGTGTCTTCTGCAGACAACAAGGGCCTAAAGCTGGTTCCTTTCTGATCTTGAAAATACATTTAAATGGAAAGCAATGAAGTGCTTGGGGCGTGACGTACTATGTTCAGTTTGGTTTAAACTCAAGCTTTGAGAGAAATCGGCAAAACGCCATGGAGAAATTGGAATGCTAAAAATGAGATCTATAAAAGTAACAATGCCAAACTTCAGTCTATTTTCTTCATACATAAACTCAGACAAAAGCTTATTAAGTAAATGCCAGTCACAGCGTAACACATAGTCAAATATTTGCATGTCTTGGGAGGAGGAAACAATATACCAATCCCTTCAAGTAAGTATACTGGTAAGTCTAAACAATATCTTCAATCAATCTCATTCATTTGGCTTAGTTGCTGTCTGCCTCAGTTTTATGCCTCCACAGTTATGAAGGAGTATCATACTCATGAACAGACGGGCAACTTCGCCATCCTTGATTTGATGACATCCTTGTCATGAGTCTTGACAGAAGACCTACAAATAAAAAAGAAACGGTATTTAAAACATTCAGGTATTATTGTCAGTGTTAAGTTACATGAATTCATCCTAACTCATCCTACAGACCTTGAAACATCTATTGGCGTTGCTGTGTTTGCGTGGACACTCTCCTCCTGGTTGTAGAGCTGACTCTGCGACTCTGGGCCCTGCCCCGCTGTTCTGAAGGATAGGCCACTATCTGGCTGGATAATCCCTGCACCTGCAGACCTGCTGACTCCCTCATGTCCCTCGCCATCTGAGACAGAGTCTGACCCGGGTTGGTCTGCAGACGCTGGAAAAGGCTTTCTCTGTTAATTTTCCTCTCTGGACAGCTGAAGGTCAACGCCACCCCAGTGTCTGACTTCATCTCCCTGGAAAAACCGTCTGAGGTGCCGTCAAAGCAGCGGCCTATAGCAATCTCTTTGGCCACCCTTGGGTTCTGGTCTGTGACTGTGTAGATGCCATAGTTGTGTCCCAAAGGATCAAAAGGGGCTAGCATGGTGAATCCATGTGACTCGTTGTTGTGGGCTACTGGTGGATGTTTGATGAGATACTCTTGTAGAAGGCCATTGGTGCCCGTCCTGCGACAGTTCCCCTGTGGGAGGAGTGTTATGATGGATCTGTCTACCTCATCTTGATCAAACAGCATGCCGCTGCATTTGAACTCTACACAGGCTGCTGAGGTGTTGGCCTCTCGCATGTCCCGGGTGCTGCGGATGTCTCTTATTCCATAAAGTTTGCCTTTAGTTTCTCGGTGTGTTCCTCCCGAGTTCTTCGACCTGACCATCACTTCCTTCTGTCCATGGATCTTGACCTTAATGAAGCATGCTCTGAACTCCTGGGGACTAGGCCACCATGAGAGGTAGTCTCCTGTCCAGGTCGTCAAATCATTCTCTTCAAAGGGAACAACATTGTATTCATACTTGTCCTTTTCCACTCTAAAGAATCTGAAATGATTTGCATCGAAAGGGGCATTTTCACAACCGATTAAATTCACATATGGATATATTGGCCCATTGGTCTCGTCAAAATTATTTTGGTTAGGCTTTGCCAAATTGATTTTGAAAGCTGTTTTCTTCAGAGCTGGATCCTCATGATCTGACCGCTGGTAGTCTATTTTATCCAGATATGGCTGAGACACTCCAATGATGTTTGGATTCATCTTAGGTGAGGAAGGAGCTGCCTCCAGTTCTTCCCCACCCATCATTGCTGTGACATAAGCTGTGTAAGCATCAGGCCTTTGGGCATCACAGAAAGCTGGTAAACAGGCCCCGTTGTTTCCAGTTATGACGCTGTCAAAACGACCCCATGCCCTAGGATTAGAGGAAAATCCAGGTTTGGGTTCCAAATTTATCAAGGTGATCACAACACCCTCAAGCTGTTCACTAGATAAGAACTTATCACTCATGTAGGCACGGACTTTAACATAGCATCGTCGGTTTTCTGGCACGTCTAAATTGAAGAGTCTACGTTCTCTGATCTCCATGTTGCCTATTAGGAACGTGCGGTCCTCTCGTTTGCTCCGCCCATGACCACCAGCACTTGTTGTGGTGTAGGAGAAGTCACTCTCCTCTTCCCAGACTCCCGTGTCCGGATTTAAAGACCACAGTTTCATTTTGGGA